ATGCTAATGCAGGCTAGAATCATGCTAATAACAGGCTAATTCACGCTAGATTCATGCTAGTAACATGCTAATTCATACTATAATCATGCTAATAACATGCTAATTCATGCTAGAATCATGCGAGTAACATGCTAATTCATGCTAGAATCATTCTAGTAACATGCTAATTCATACTAGAATCATGCTAATTCATGCTAGAATCATGCTAATAACCTGCTAATTCATACTAGAATCATGCTAGTAACAGGCTAATTCATACTAGAATCATGCTAGTAACATGCTAATTCATGCTAGAATCATACTAGTAACATGCTAATTCATGCTAGAATCATGCTAGTAACATGCTAATTCATGCTAGAATCATGCTAGTAGCATGCTAATTAATACTGGAATCATGCTAGTAACATGCTAATTCATGCTAGAATCATGCTAATAACATGCTAATTCATACTAGAATCAACCTAATGACATGCTAATTCATACTAGACTCATGCTAGTAACATGCTAATTCATACTGGAATCATGCTAGTATCATGCTAATTCATGCTAGAATCATGCTAATAACATGCTAATTCATACTGGAATCATGCTAGTAACATGCTAGTTCATCCTAGAATCATGCTAGTAACATGCTAATTTATGCTAGAATCATGCTAGTAACATGCTAACTCATGCTAGAATCATGCTAATAACATGCTAACTCATACTAGAATCATGCTAATAACATGCTAATTCACACTAGAATCATGCTAATTCATACTAGAATCATGCTAATAACATGCTAATTCATGCTAGAATCATGCTAGTATCATGCTTATTCATGCTAGAATCATGCTAATAACATGCTAATTTAGACAAGAATCATGCTAGTAACATGCTAATTCATACTAGACTCATGCTAGTGACATGCTAATTCATACTAGAATCATGCTAATAACATGCTAATTCATGCTAGAATCATGCTAATAACATGTTAATTTATACTAGAATCATGCTAGTAACATGCTAATTCATACTAGACTCATGCTAGTGACATGCTAATTCATACTAGAATCATGCTAGTGACATGCTAGTTCATACTAGAATCTTGCTAATAACATGCTAATTCATGCTAGAATCATGCTAATAACATGCTAATTCATGCTAGAATCATGGTAGTAACATGCTAATTTTACTAGAATCATGCTAATAACACACTAATTCATGCTAGAATTATGCTAGTAACATGCTAAATCGTGCTAGAATCATGCTAATTCATGCTAATAACATGCTAATCCATGCTAGAATCGTACTAATAAGATACTAATTCATGCTAATAACATGCTAATCTATGCTAGAATCATGCTAATAACATGCTACTTATACTTTTTCAAACTGTTTTTAAACTAAATAAACTATTACCAACAGGCTTTGTCAAGCCAGCCTCAAAGTTTGTCTCGACGAACTTTACTGTCTAGTTATTATTATTGTTGTTGTTATTATCAATAATAATAATAAGGGATGTTCCAATCAATTTTTTTTTGCCCTTGATTCAGAGTCAATTGATTTCGAGTATATGCTCATATCGAAACCCAATCCGATACTTATACAATATATAAAAAAGAATAACGAAGAGCAAACAAACAGATCCTGGATGTTCCTTATTTAATTCACCTTTTTTTAACATTCAACAACTGAGTTAACAAACAGAGCACTTCTGTGAGGTAGCTTCAACCATCAAGTAATAAATAACATCAGTTCTTCACTTTTGGACTTTCGTGCAACAGTAAATGTAAAAAATATAATATAAAAACAAACAGCACCTCAACTTAAAACACCGGCAGGTAATCCCAAGTTTACATATCTCGCAGTTTGCTATGGCAATGTTGTCGTCATCAACATTATAATACCTCCAGACCCAACATACTCACATATTCCGCTTTAAGCTGCTTCCTTCTACTATTGTATTTTTTTTCATTCTACTTTTTGTATTAATATTATCTGTTATGCACCTACTGTAGGGTCTGATAATGCAAGTTCAATTCTCTGTATGTCCTAAACATGTGGTTAAATTGACGATAGAGCTGACCGATTTTGACTTTGGCTAAAAATGTGTAAAAGGTCTATACTGTATCTTAATATACTGTAAATTACTCCTGCCATATCAGATCTAAATTTTCAGCATAGATACTCCAGTGTCTATCAGAAATCATTTTAATATGACAATTTGGTCATTAGCAAGCATTTATTCTTTGCAATCAGTGTACCGTATTTTTATTTATTTACTTTTATAATTTTTTTATTTTTTTTTGCAGAAACCAGTGACACATTTTGTAAAAAGATTCTAAATATCTTGATAACTGTCACCTTTTATCCATTTAACAGATCCATGCTGAATATAGCTGTGCGTTTCTTCTGTAAAATACTGTGATATAAATATGTGACATTTATTAATAACTCCCACTGTTCTTCCTACATCATCTCAATATCTTTTTCTCAGCAGACCTAAAAAAAATGCGGAAAATGCATTCAAAGCCCTCAGCGCTATAAGCTCACACACCCTCACGACCACATAATTGTTGGCATCTGTGTTTAGGTGAAGCTTGTGTTTTTGTGTAAATCCACAATGTCGTCATCCTCCCACTGCAAAACACCCACAAACAAAAACTTCTCTTAGTCAACAATTACATTGTGTTTTCACTGCGAGACACGGGATTCACTGCCGCTTGGGGTCAGTAAGGTTTTAGGTTTTTTAAAAGAAGCCTATTTTGGTCACCAATGCTGCATTTATTTGATCAAAAAAGACAGAAACTGTACAATTGCGAATTATTGTTACAATTTAAATAGTTTTTTATTGAATATACAGTAGTTTCAAACTGGTATTTGTTCATGTGATTTTTTTTTTTTAGCATCATTATTTTAGTCTTGTGGCTCAATAAATATTTACCAGTCCCTTCAAAGTCCAATTGTATAAATAAATATATAAATAAAATAAAATTAATTAATCAAATGTATTTATAAGTAACAAAATATTTACGTATTTTTTGTCTATTTTCAAGTCTAAAAAAAAATATTGCTAAATGTTTCGGGAAATGCGATCACAAAATCATAATTATACAGTGTTTGGCATAAATGTATACACCCTCAAAAGTCTATCTTTTAAATTCATATTGTCTAATTTTTTTATTTGAAGCTTTACAATATTATATTTGTGCAAATATATTAGATTAGTGAGTATTGAAGCCAAAACTGGGGCTAATCTATCAAAATAACTTAGGATAACAGTCCAAATATTAGTACACCCAAATTTATACGTTAGTGAACATTATTCACTGCAACAGCAAGAAGGTCGCTGGGTTGTTGCTTCGAACCTCGGCTCATTTGGCGTTTCTGTGTGGAGTTTGCATGTTCTCCCTGCGTTCGCGTGGGTTTCCTCAGGGTGCTCCGGTTTCCCCCACAATCCAAAGACATGCGGTACAGGTGAATGGGGTAAGCTAAATTGTCCGTAGTGTATGAGTGTGTATGTGTATGTGTGTGTGGATGTTTCCCAGAGATGGGTTGCGGCTGGAAGGGCATCCGCTGCATAAAAAGGTGCTGGATAAGTTGGCGGTTCATTCCGCTGTGGCGACCCCGGATTAATAAAGGGAATAAGCCGACAAGAAAATGAATGAATGAATATTTCTCAATATAATGTAATAATTTCTCAAATTTTTATTGCTGAGCACTGCGTTAAATGAGTCTCTGCAAAATCAGGAAGAGTCTGATTTATTTTCATTATTACTAGTGTTGAGCTTCATATTTTTATGGAAACTGTGATAGTAGTATCTTTCAAGAGATAGTATCTTTTAAAGCACCCTTAAAAAACGATTTACTTTTATTCATAAAGGACACATTACTGTGTGTGTGTGTGTGTGTGTGTGTGTGTGTGTGTGTGTGTGTGTGTGTGTGTGTGTGTGTGTGTGTGTGTGTGTGTGTGTGTCTGTGTGTCTGTGTGTGTGTGTGTACGTGTTTTTGTGCCATATCAGGGCACAAATCTGTATAATGACATGGGTATGACACAGGGATTACAAAAAGGAGGTGAAATATGAGGACATTGGTGACGTCCTCATTTCTCAAAATGCTTATAAATCCTACAGAATGAGTTTAATCAGAGAGTAAAGCTGCACACAGTCTCCTGTGATGGTTGGGTTTAGGGGTGGGGTGGGGTGAGGGCAATTTAATATACGGTTTGGACAATATAAAATGAATGGAAACCTATGTAATGTCCCCACTTTTCACAAAAAAACAAAAGTGTGTGTGTGCGTGTGCGTGTGTGTGTGTGTGTTATTTGAGCCTTCTTTTCATCAAAGAATTATAAAAAGTTAAACATGTCATCACAGTTTAAAACAATAAAGCAGGAAAAATGTCAACATTGACAATTATAAGAATCCTAATCTCACAAGAAAACGTAACTATTTTTACACTTTGTCAGTTTAGTGGCTAATTCGTACAAAATCAGTCATAGGAAAATGTACGATTTTAAAAAGAAGGCGTGGCACCCAACCCCACCCTTAAACCCAGCCATCATTGGGGAATAAGCTAATAGTATGAATGAGACCATACTAATAAGCCACTAAATCAAAAAGTTACAAATTGCCGTGAGATTGTGTTGTAATCATTATAAATGATTGTGGACCAAAAAGCTTATAAGAATGATTTCTGAAATAGCATGTGACAAGTATTATGAAGACATTATTAAATCCCAAGAATAAATGACATTTTAAACTACACTCATTAATAAAACAGTTATTTTAATTTGTAATAATATTTTACAATTTTCACTGTATTTTCAATCAAATAAATGCAGCCTTGGTGAGCAGAAAAGGCTTCTTTTGAAACATTTTTTTTTAAATCTTAGTACGCACATCCTGTGTAACTGTGTTTGCAACTGCAAAAAATGCACTTCAGAAGGTAAATACTGATATGTTTCTTTATCACTTTCAGGATATGAGAAGATAAGAGAGAAAAGAGGATCTTCTGACCTTCTTAGTGATGCTGTCCAGCGTCTCTGGTCTGCTGATATCAAAACAGATGAGCACAGCATCGCAGTCTGGATACGCCAGCGGCCGCACGTTATCATAATACGAGGAGCCTGCAAAACACAAGCACAGTGGCGCTCACCATCAAAGCTCTTCGTTATGACAAAGCTAATGACGCTCACCAATGCACGTACAAATTATGCACTCTTAAAGCAGGACAGATGATTTAAAAGACTCCAGTGGTGAGTGCGTGAGTTAGTTAAGTTTCAGTCAATTCTGTCTCTTTGATTGTGATCAATCATCATTTATATTAATGATCCATTAATGGATTAATCATTAATCTTAATCGTGCAAAATGTGTTGAGCGACACCCTATCATCAGCATGCAAATGACTCTTAAAATGAAAGCATCTTCAACCAAAGGAAAATGTTTTTATTAATGCCGTCAAACAATTAATTGTGATTAATAACATCCAAGATTACATTACATTAGCTCATCTTTCTGTGAAATTAATTATTTCCCAATGGCTGTTTAAAAGAGAAATAAAATTGACATATTTTTAAACGTAATAATTTTAGTAAATAATAAAATAAGTAAATTCTAATATTTGGTTTGCCATGATAAGTATTTTGAAATATACACTGTATAATCCAATAAGTTAAGGTAACTGAAAATATTTGAGGAAACCGATTACGACAAACCATTTAAGTCAAAAAAACTAATCCTAATGAGTTCTGTGAACTTAATCTATTTGAATAAACAAAGCAATTTGAGCACAGTGAAACTAATAAATGAAGAAAACTCAAACCAATTGAGTACTGTGAAACCCAATAAGTTAAGGCAACTCAAACTAGAGATCTGTACAGGACTGAATTTTTAGTCTCGCTCCCGCCAGATTTTATTCCGCACCCGACTGCTGCCACCGTATATTAAGTCTTTGTTCACCCGATGCCCGACCCACCCTGTTTTCTTCCCGACCCGACCGTTCCCGCTAAATTTAGATCTGATTTAATCTCAAATTAAAATTGGGTTTTACCCAAAGAGAGAGATAACAGATAAAAGTGTAGGTTGTGTAAGGATTGTAGGCTGAACGTCAGTTTTGTTTGCCCCTTTGTGATGAGACATGAGTGTTGCGTGATGTGCGGTGAGGTTTGTGGCTGATGAGGCACTGACTCTTTCAAAGTCAGATTTACAAACATATCCACTCAATATATTTGCCAACTACCGCTTGTGTTTCATATATCATATCAGCATTAGTTCTATACAGACAGCAGGTACATATTGGGCCAAGGAAAAATGTAAAATGTACAGCCCAGCGATTAAATGCATAACAAAAAACACCCAGCTGAAAGCTACAGAGCCCAGACGGTCCAGACAGCCTATAACAAGCGACACACAGCACCACGGTGGATGTGCGCACTTTATCTTATTCACACACACACACACACACACACACACACACACACACACACTCACACCCTCAGCACCACGGTGGATGCGCACGCTCTCTCTCATTCACACACACACACACATACAGGGCTTAATTTGCTACCTCTGAAATCTCATCCGGCACCTGATTTTACCGATTCCCCCGATCCTCCCCCGTCCGCTGTTCACTTTCACTTTCTTCTGTGACTCCCCAACCCTCTTCACTTTTGTCGGCGACACCACTCCTTCATCCAACACCCCGCTCTCCACTTTTATGCACAACACCTCTACGTCCTTGGGAAACATGCCGGATCCGTAACCCCGATCAGTTCCATGACCTCGCAATTCACAAATTATGCACTGCACACACACATATGGCAAGCACACACAGTAGCACCACTCTCTCTCTCTCTCTCTCTCTCTCTCTCTCTCTCTCTCATCTGTTTACAGCACGTCAGAATGCAAAATACTGGATTTAAGGATTATAAGTTAGTTTAGTGTTGACTCAGAGGCGTAAGGTCAGTTTAATAAGGTCTTATGTTAGTTTAACATGTATGTTGCGAAGTTTGCCGCATATGTTTGTAATGAGGCAACATGTAAACAGCATGTAAAGTACATGTTTAATGCATAATTATGCTTTGTGTTATATCACTCAACTCTAACTGTGACTGAAAAGAAGTGAAACGATGCCAGAAAACTTATTTAAAACTCATCTTTTCATGCAGAGGTTTTTAACAATGAATGAATAAATAAATGAATGAATGAATATTGCTGTCTGTGTTTTCATATCAATTAAAAACACAAAACATAGCTCTAACACATCTCAGTCTGTCCCTTTTGTCGGGTATAATCAGGGCTTGACTTTTTTGATCACCAGCTTCTGTGGCTAGTTGTTTTTCAACATCACTAGCCACAATTTTGTTGTTGAGAAAATACATTTTATATGCATAAATTTGACTTTGATACACAAAAATGACTTGATTTAGATTTTGGGTTATGTCCACATGCCTCCTCATTCACACCCCTTTTGTGTGTGTCATGTATGAGCTTGCTCATTGAGCATAAGCTAATGGGTCATGATTCATAGTGTTGTATTACAATTAGTTTTATTTCACATCACTTTTCAGAGCTCAAAATTAAGAATGTACCAAATTTATTGGTCCAAACATAAATAAATAATAATTTCTTAGCTCAAAAAAAATAATGTGTCAAACCAAGCTAAATATAGCTGAACACTATACTTTTTATTTAACAATCTTTAAAAAATAAATTAATTAATTAATTGACCTCTAAAGGTCCTGGCTAAAGGTTCTAGATCACCAGTTAACTGCTTTAATGGGAATAACTCCCCATTTATGTGTACTGTTATTGTAAAAAAAAAAAAAAAAAAAGATAATTAAACCATATTAACAAAAATAACTGTGAGCAAAAGAAATCAGGTGAATGATAATAAAAGGATGATCACACGCACATGATTAACATTAGGCCCATTAACAATCTGTTTAAAGAATGGTTAAAGCGAAAGAAACCTGCTGCTTACAAAAACACAAATCTGGAGCTCTTGAAAGCAGCAGGACTGTGGGTGCATGAGCATAACTTTTTAGTCTATTTGAACGAGAACCGATCCCACCAGTTGCATTTCTGGGCTTGGTTGCTTCACGCAAGGAAACGGGAGCGTGCACGCTTTTTAAACAGTTGCAAGCATCACATCAGCTGTTAGCGCAAGTGCTCATCCTCTCATTCGGTATTCACCTGCTTTTTTACTTTTGCTCGCGCAGACACTATTAGTTTTGGCAGTCGTGCTGCTTCTCGATTCTAAGATCGCATTTGCACACATATTGGGTTGTCCTTACTGTCAAACCCTGCTTTTAAGATAGCTACAACTTAAAATTTGTTTTAAAACAGCCAAAGTGGCTAGTGGAAGTGACTGTCTAACCCGCCAGAGCTGAAATCTACACGCATTTGGCAGGTTGGTGGGTGTTAATGTTAAGCCCTTTCATCCAAAACACAACTCCAGAGCTGCATAGTTGGTGTTGGTGGTGTAACGGTGGCTCACTCACTCATTCTAGCTAAAATAAACTTAAATCCCAACACTTAAACGACACTTGAAAAGTTTGTCGTTTAACAAAGGAATTATCTTAATTTGTTACAACTGAAGTATAATAATTTTTCAAGTGTGTATTTCAGACTACATCACACTGTGTGTGTGTGTCTGAGAGTAAGCGAGGTCACTTTAGGGCAAGTCATTTCATTAGTCATTCATCTTTAAACTCCTCTCGGGCAGTATGCACAGGCATTCTGTTTGAATAGGAAACATCAAATCCTCCAAATTTGTTTGCCAAGATTTCAATAAAATTTCATATCAGGAAGCATCAATAAAATTAAACAACAACTGTTTCTTTAGTTTCATTTCTAAACGTTTGAATCACACAAAATCTGCAAATATCTGTTCCAAGCCCCTCCCCCTGAGAATCTATGTTGACTGTTACACTTTTCCCCATTCAAAACTATACAATTGACATGTCTTTGCAGTCTTAGGTGTCACATAATGGCATGAGCTGCTTGAGCATCTGAGCAGAGTGCATTAATATTCATGACCCTTCCAAATATGGTCAAAACTAACCATATCATAATTTAAACTATTATAACAATGCATTCTAGGAAATATTTAAAAAAAGAAACTACAATTTAAATGAAAACGACTTACTTTGATACCAAAGTAATACAGAACTTCTAATTATGTTTGTATCATCTCTTGTTTTTTTAATTAGCATTATTTGTTGTGTTTTTAATCCCTTATTGTTTTAGCAATGGTGTTGTGTGTGAGATTTGTTTCAGTTTTAGTGATTTTAGGAGACTTGTAAATGGCGCTGTGTGAAACTGGCACGGTCTCTGTCTCTGCTAATGTGCTCTCTGTACGTCTGCATTCATGTCTCGCTCTCCTGTCCTTCCCCGCAGTGAGGACACTGATCCAGACGCAGACAGAGAGAGCGATGGAGCGCTGGAAGTGTGAGACTGACAATGAGTGTTTGAAGCGCTGATCAAGGCTATCAGACCTGTGTGTGTGCGTGTGTCCCACAATCCTCTCTGGCAGCTCTGTCAACTACAGCTAGAGAACGATGGCCAAATGACATTGCTTAAATAAAAGTGCAAATAAGGGTAAGTAGAAACTAATAAAAGTGTACAGAGAGAGGGAGAGAGAGAGAGAGAGAGAGAGAGAGAGGGGAGGGGGGTGCTGGAAATGGAAGAAAGCCTGCTTCTGTTGCCATATTGCTTGTTTGTTGTTTGTCTTCACATAGAGAGAACAGAGAGACTTTTTTCCTCTTCTAACTCACAACTAAATCTTCTAAAACATGCTTGTTTGTTAAGCCATCATTTAAATGAGGACACAGCAGGGCCATGTGTTGTTTTGTTTTTTATCCAAACCCTAACCTTGAAAGATATTTACACATATTTATTTAGCAGACGCTTTTATTCAAAGCAGCTTACAAAGGGGATAAAAAAGGGGTCAAATCACCAGGGAACAGCAATATATAGAAAGTCCAAGTTAGTTAGCAGTTTTTAATTAAATTGAGTCCTTGAAACATAGTATTTGTAGGAAAGTGTCTGGTGCATATGGAGATGAAAGAGAAACAAGCATGTTTCCTAAAGGTGGTTTGTCAAGCCCATTCACCTGTGTGAAGC